CCCCAAACTCTATATCTCCTACCAAACAAGGCCGTAATCACGGAGAATCATGAAACATGTAAATTCTTCAATCAGCCTCTCTAGCCTAACGAAAAACTATGAGTGGACCATCCTATAACTGGCATAAAAACCGATATTTTTCAAACATAAATACTGTTTGCTTCTAATTTCTATACGTCGTTTCGATGTATTTCATAAATCAAATAGAGGAGAATGCAACAGAGAAACAAAAAAAAAACAAACAGATCTAAATCACACAGTTACATTTCTGCCTATCTCTTTCTCTACTTTTTTCTTATTACTCTTCTTAGGCATGTGAACAGTCAAGGGAAAATTAAAAAAAAAGAATAAAGAATAAACCTCAAGGCAAGGAGGGAGCACCGGCTGGTAGAGAGATCGGAGTTTTTGGAGATCGGAGAGTTCTCTGGGAATGCCGTAGTCGGAATCCATGGTTGAATAGTGAGAGAGCGGGTAGTTGGATTTGGAAAGAGAAAGAGAGAGAGACTGTGGGTTTAAGCTAGTTTCTTCATTAGGCCTTTTTTATAGGAGGGCGATAGGGACTCGGCCATTGGCGTTACAAACAAACAAAGCAACTTCATGTCTTGACCCTTTTTGCCAAATTTATCCTTCGGTTTTTTCTTTTATTATGAATATGCCACCACCACCTGTTTTGCCCTTAGCCCCTTGTTAATTTCATTCGCCCTTAAACGGGTGTGGTTTTAATCCAATATTTGTCTTATCAATAGATATTATTATTTTAATCTTGTGATTTAATCAGATGATTATAATAAATTAAGTAATTAATTAAAAATATATAATAATAATTAATAAAATTATATTTTTATGAAGTCACATCATTAAATTTTTATATTTAATAGGTAATCACAAATAAAAATGTAACTATTATAATTTTAAATTATGAATTCTTTTTTAATTCTTTCATTATCTAATCTTTCAGTATATATACCATATACATATATATTCTAATATAATGTAACACTCTAAAATCATGATTATTTATTCAAAATTACAAAGTTAAATCTTGTTTATTGAAAGCATATTGCATATGACAATAACCCTAACCGTCTTTTGACAGAGAGGAACAAGGAGAAAAGAAGCTTGAGTGTTTGTCAGAGTTTCAGCACTGCTTCTGGGCACGTCACCAAACTCCAACCATGAAAATCGGTCCCTAATCTCGTCTTGTCAAGGGCTCTTCAGGAGCAGTGTGTCATGGGGTGACTTGGTTAAGGCATATCAAACTTTGTTTAAACGTTAGAAACCATATGTTTTAGAGGTGTTTTCCGGCACCGTGAATGTTGGATGGCTGGGTCCTTGCAGAAGTTCAATCTTGGCAGTGGGATCTTCCTTTGGCAGCGGTGGTGCTGTCTCCAAGGTTAGTATTGGTGCCAAATGTAAAACATTAACTGTTTTTTGATGGTCTCTTTCCGGCAGTTTCGCCGCTTGGCTCTTGAAGCCATATTCCTTTCCCTGTGGTCCTCTTGTCAACAGGATCATCATTGGAGACTTACACCAGCGATGCTTGGGGTTTTCATTTTTACTTTGCTTTGTGTTTAAAATGTGTGATGATGTTGTTCTAGCCACTTTTTCTTTGTTGTTTTCTAATAACAGAAGTGGTTTCCCCACCGTCCGATGTTAGTTATGTATCACACCCAGTTGAGTTGTTATCCGACGGTGTGGATTATTTAGTTAAGTTGGAATCTTGCATGTATCGTGTTGCTGATGTCCCTTCTGAGAAAGGGTTGATGTTCTATCCTTCCAATGCTTGGAAATTAATTTTGATGGGAGGGTTTTTTCAAATAGAACCTTAAATGTGCTCGATCTTAGTGTGCCTAGATTGTCTCTTGTTCTCAAGCCTCAGGTGTACGTTTGTCTTTTTGTCAGATCATTAGCCTTGTATAGTGTTGTTTATTTATCTTTTTATATTTGAATACAGGTTTCACTTTCAAAAAAAGTTTTAACCTAACAGTATTGTAACACCCTGAAGAATTAATTGAGATTAATTAAGGTAATTGAGATTATTAGTGTGCCTAATCTAATTTAATTAACTGAGTTTAAATAATTCCAAGGTATTTAAATTATTCACAGTAATTTATTTAATCCAGAAGTGTGTATGGGCGCATTTCTGGATTGTTATATTTTACACATGTCACTTTCTTTTATTTTTCTTTTCTTTTCTTTTCTTTTTCTTTTTCCTTTCTTTTCCTTCCTTTTCTTTTTCTTTCCCGTGCGTTTCTCTCTCTTTCTCTCTCTCTCTCTCACACACTTCCGTGCTCTCTCTCCCATTTGTGTCTCAAATCAAAACCGGATTCGAACCAAGAGTGATTTCAAAGAGTTTTCAACGTCAAGAGAAGGATTCGAGGTAAGATTACTGAAAGAACCTCTCTTGAATCTATGTTTTTCATATTTCAAAACTTATTTTTGGTTCAAAACGGATTTTGATGATTTTGAGTAAAACTAGAGTAGAAATTGAAGATCTTGGGTTCTTTGGACTTGTTTTAGGACCTAGAACCCGGATCTAGTGGTTTCCCTTTGAAATATTTGGATTTGGGACTGGATTTGCAGGTTTTTGGACTGATTTCCGCGAGCTTCTCTCGCGCAGTCGATTCCACCGGTCGACCTGTACGGTCGACCGGATTGCAGGCCGACCTGTCCGGTCGACCGGTGTGCACACTACCGGTCGACCGGTAGTGTTGCACTGCTCTGTCACCGGTCGACCG